TGGCAGCCGGCATTACTTTCACGCTGGAGTCACTCTCTGGACAGCGGCTAGTGCTCCTAGTGAGGTGCGAGCTGAAGGTTCTCTCTGACCCCTAGTGCAGCCTGAGTCAGCAGAACAAAGTTGCTCTTGGGGGTCTGGTTATTCACCAGTTGCCCCTAGGCTGCTAGGATTTCCCTATTATGGCCCCTTAGAAACACCTTTGTCCTGTTTCTGTCACAACCTCACTGCAGCTGCTCTGCCTTTGGAACCTCTCCATCCTAGTTCCATTTCTCCATAGGCAACAACTGCTTACTACTCAGCAGCCATTAACACTTACTACCTGATTACTACTCAGCAGCCATCTGGCCACAGTGGGTAATAAATTACTTCATAGGCTTACTCTGCTAGACTGTTTGTATACGTGCAAGAAATTTCCAGAGGCATTATTAGCTTTTCTCAAGCTTCACTAACTTGCCACTAGATGATGATTGTACATTTTTTACTCATTCCATTGTCACAGCAATTTGGTAATTATTCCCATTTTGTAGATGAGGCTGCTGAAACTCAGAGAAGTTAAGTCACTTGCCCAAAGTCACACAGGTAATAACGGGACCAGGGATTCAAGGCCATTTGTCTGGGCTCAGGACCCCATGGGGTTTAGGGAGGGAGTACTGTCTGCAGCCTGACTCAATAACTGCAGACATAACTATTTTGCCTCTACCTTCGGAAAAGCCATTTCTGTTAGGCTACCTTCTCCAAAAGGGCAACAGATGGAAGCTTGTTTAGAGCAATGCATCTCATAATAGTCTAGCATTTTCTATTGGGGTATATGTGAGAGTAAATGTTCACAGTCTTGTGGGGAGCACTGAAGAAAGTTGTTAGTCCTTTAGGAAGATGAGTAAAAAGGATTCTAGCACTTGAGCATTATGAGCCAGAGGTTTTGACCTAAGAAGCATCTCTGAAACAAGTCCCCCCCCTTCATCAGGGGAGCTTGTGGTGCAAGGGTGCCAAAGCCCATTAGGTGGCAGTAGAGAACCAGGCAGTGGCCTGGAACCCGTAACTTTGTGCAAGTTCTAACTCAGTCACTAACCTTGAGTTAGTCACCTCACCAGGCTACTTGAATAAGGCCTGGGAGCTTCTCTTTTCCCTGAGATTCAAGTCAGTATCTCTCTTCTCTCTGGTCTTGCTATCAATCATCCAGGTGAATTATCGACTCTAGCTTAGCACAGACCTTATCCTCATGGTTCAATTTCATCTTTTATATAGTAACACTCAACACAAGATCTTTCTAAAAGTTACCAGGCAGGCCTAACTACAAAGTTTCGGTTGAAAGTGCTTTCCCCAACTCTGTTAACACCAGAGGCTTAGGTTCTCCCTGACTTTTTACATCAGTCTCAGTTCCTGGAACCTACACTAAATTGTATTATATTATTCTGCTCCAGGGTCTTTGCATGTTTTCTCTGTCTGAAACTTGCACTGTTATGTGCAAGTCTGAAATGCTTTCCCTCCATTTTCATATGACTGATTACTTCTTATTTAGATGTCATTAAAATAAATAACTTCCATAAAATGAAACTCAGGACCAGGGAAAATAGAATCATGCCTTTTTGAAGTGAGGAATGAAGTCAGTTTCTTTCATGCCTATTAAGCAATCACAAACGACCCCATCACATCCAAAACTTGTGACTAACATGGGACTCAAAAGCAGGGTGGGGCGGGGGAGGAAAAGTAAGAGGCAGAGAATCAATCTTCACAAACAGGGACAGCCTGCAAAAGAAGGACTATCCCATTCAGGCAGGTAAGAGCATTACTTCTCACCAGTAGTTGTAGTTCCAGTCTTTCAAAATGGGTTCTTGGAGGTTCTGCTGCATTCTTTCACCCTCCCTTGACTCCTCCCTGATGCTTGGCTGTTAGCAGATTTCTCTTCAGTGTTTGTAATTCTCTAACTTCTGAGGGCTCACAAAGTGTCCTCCAAGACCCTCTTTCTAGGCTGACAAGAAGGAAAGCAAGGAGGTCAAGTGTTTATTCAGGTTGGAAATCTGCTTATGAACCACAGTGCCTTTAGTTATCTTAGTCTGGGGTAAAGTTATCAGCATTTTCTGTTGTCTATCTGTGGTTTTTCCAATGCTCTATGTTAGAAGTATAGATTTATAAAAATTTAATGCAGAATTAGTTGTTCTGTGTCCAGAATGTTGAACATAGAAGTTCAACAGTACATTACTCACCTGAACTTAGGGAGTTCAAGTGTAATTTCTTTTTAACAACTGGGAAGGACAAATTTCACAGGAAATGTCCCAGTGGAAAGTGTTTATGCCATGAAGTCTCCACTTTGTTCCCAGCTATTTAAATGATGTTCATTAATACAACTCTATTGGGACCAGGCCTTTCAGACTTTAAGAACAGTAAAAGGGAAGAAGAGAAATGCAGAATATCAAGAAGAGACGCTTCCTGTACTGTTTTTTAAGGAGCACATTTTCATCACGATCATTGCAGTTCATGAATTTTTGGATATATGTCCTAGTCATGCAATTTGAATGAAGGAGAAGTAGAAATTGATTTTTATGGAAGGGAAAACAAATAGTTAGAGAAAGTCAGGTCAGTGGATTTCTTTGGCTTATTTGGAGTAGGGTGAGCATAGACATGTCCAGGAAGCTGAATGGTGTGGTTTACTTTGTAGGTTTGGAGGCTGTTGTGTTTGGCCTCAGACACACATTAGTCATCATAGCCTTCTATTTATCTAAGGATTGATATCACATAATACTCTGGAGAAAAATAACTCCATTTATTATTTACAGGCCAAGGAAGGTAAGGAGTGAATAAAAATGCTTTTTGTTTGTTTCTCTCTAAGCTTAAAGCATGGAGTCAAATTGAAGGCAAAGGAAGAGCATTTTCCTCCCAATAATAACTTAATTTGAAAGCATTTTGCTTTCATTTGTAGATTCTTTTTTCAACCTAATTTTCAGTTGGTAAAAGGGGTGGGAAGCCTAAGCCCTTTTCAAATTCCTTGATATCAGTGAAAGAAGCAGGTATAAAACCTGTCACAGAGAAACTGTCAGGATTTCAGGAAGGGTCAGCTGCAGTTACTTATCACCAAGTGAATATATGTTTGTGAGACTTCATGAGATGATGGGCAAGAATGTTCTGGATGTTTTAAATGATAACCTGTGTGCCCTGCTCTTAGGTATCCTGTGGCCTGATCCTACAAGATGCCAAAAGATGAAGCTCACTTCACCTATGGTTACACCAAGAAGGGGAATGGACATTCCTATATCACAGCTGAAGAGTAAGTTCAAAACCAGACTTGGGGTAGGGATTCCAACTTCCCATTTGCTGACACAGTCTACTAACTTCCACAGGACATAGATTTCTCTAGTGCGCATGAGTAAAAAGCAGCAAGTTAAAACCATGACACCAAAGTGAGGAGTCCCTTTGGGCCTATGAGTGGCTAATGTAAACTTCTCTGAGGCCAAACAGGCAAGGAGATAAGAACGGTAAAAAGAAAAAGTCACTACATCTTGCCATTTTTTTGTCTGCATTCTTGGTTATCAGGACTTCTAGGTTATCAAATGGAAAATTACCTTTCTGAGAGCAACATGACTCTTTCCTCAAGTTTTGTTCCATTAGCTCTACTTAAGCTCCTGGAGGTGATCTGCAAACAGAACAAAGGCAAGTTGCCAAAGACAATGAAGGGCAGGTGCATTTGTACTTGTAGAATGACTCCAGGAGGAAAGGATGCTTACACCTTTCACACCATTAATTTATTCTGAGGAGAGACATTTGGTATTATGAATGAATTAAAAATAAGTATTTACAAGGTTAAATATTTCAAAGTGCCTCTGGACCAAATGCTGTTGTTAATTCTAAACAATCTTAGAATGGAGTGGTAGAATTAGGTAGAGTATAAATTTCAGTAGATGAAAATGTTGTAATGGGAACTTAGGCTCAGAGACACACTCTGAATATTTTGGAATGGACAAGAGTGTGGCAGTGGAAGCCCTCTCCCCCATTGGGGACTCTAACCAGACAAAGAACCAGTTTTTAATCTGTACTTGCTCTAAAGATCTAAAGGTCTGCTAGAAGATTCTCAGTATAACATGAAGATAGTTTTCCAGAGTAATGTCAGTGATTGCAATATTTAGCTTAGTATTTCCAACAGAACTCTAACAGATTCTTAATATTACATGAAAATTATTTACCATATACAATTATTTGAAAGAATGCAACATTTTTAGGTTTACCAGTGGAACCCTAATAGAAGATTATTCATATTTCATGAGAATAGCTTTCCTCACAAAATCATTTGAAAGATGCTTTATAACTTTCCAAACACCTGTTCCCTTTTTTTGAAATTAACTGTAGAAAAATCTTTACTAGAGTAAAGTCATGGGAGTAAGGAAGATATGGAACCCATCAAAGACATCAAGAAAGAATTCAGGCTGGGAGCATGTCCCTGGAAGACCAGAGCAGAGTTCTCTAATATCCCTGCATGGTCAACTGGGAATAGAGGGGGAGATATATGACAAAACATCCTAGATGGAATCTATATTCTTTGGGATGGTAATTTACTATGTATTAAGAAGGACATTGTTTCAACTTCTATTATATGACTCGTCAGACTGTGTCTCTATCTCTATATCTCTCTACTGAGAGAAGCTCTCACAGAGGACATAGTCACCCATGCAGCTTGTGAAAATGCAGTTTCCTAGGTACAGTGAATTCAGAGGCTGATTTAGTAGGTCTGGATTGGGGAAGCAGGGCCTGTACTTTAACATGCATGTCAGGTGGTGATTGGGTGACATGCTGAGGAACCCTGTCCAGCTAGGTAGTGGGTTCTTTTGGTTGTCTGGCATTTTGGCCCTCAATCAGTCATTCAGAGTGTAATGTGACTGTGGGTAAAAGGTAGGACAGAGCTCTGCTTGTGTGAAGATGCCCAAAGGGATGGACACAGACATGGTGGGTAAAATTAGAGTGCAAGCATGCTGGGAAATAAATCAGCTGCTTTTAGTCATGAGAGTTCCCTGAATGCTTCTTGTGCCAACTTCCTTTCAGGCAAGGGTGATATGACTGGAAAGGCAATGGCCCTAGATGGGAGGTCTGGGTGTGACTCAATTCTAGCACTCACTTGCAGGTTTCATAGGCATAGGTGCTGTGAATGTTGGTTCTGCCACTTGCCAGTTGTGCAATCCTGGGTATGTTAGCACTTTAAAGTCTTGTGAATGTCAGCTATAAGATGGGCATCAAAAAACTATGTAAGAGGGCCTCCCTGGTGGCAAAAGGTTTAGTCGTCACTTTCTCGGGCTACTGCTGCTACAGCCTGAGTTTTATCCTTAGCCAGGGAACTAGCCCTCTTGTCTTGCATGCTGCTCCCCTCAGCAGTGTATTTCAATAGATCCACTTGTGTTGCTTCCCACTCTTTCTTTGGTGAATTCTTTCACCCCTTGCATCTCTGGCCTACAACTCAGTTCTTGAATGCATAAATAAATAAAAATAAGTTTTTTAAATAATGGTGTAAGAAAATAAATTTTATAAATAAATAAAACAAAATGAACATTATATCTATCTTAGAAGATTGTTATGAAGATGAAATAAAAGCCTATATTTGGGGCCCTCCCTGGTGGCACAACTGGTTAGATTGCAGCACTGCAAGCAAGCTACAGCAGCTTCATGCAAGTTTGACCCCTGGCCCAAAGGTGTACACAGGGCATGACAGACCTCTTCTGACCCCCCTGCTGCTTCCCTCAGCAGTGTACTTTGCCAGTCTGGCTATTCTGCTCTCCACTCTGTCTCTGGTGAATCCTCTCACTGCCCATGCACCTCTGGCTTGTACCCAAGTTTTGTATGCATAAATAAATAAATCCTTTAAAAAAAAAAAACACCTGTATGCCTATGTTTGGGGTGCCTAGCACAAACAGTTGCTCAGTGAATGGCAGAGTGGCTACTAGACTGGTGGTAATGCTAATGAACCTCAGCAGGTCTCAGCTTCATGATCTAAGAAGTCAGATAACTAGTCTGCATAATGAGGGCAGAGTTTCCATCTTGTGCTATCATTCTGTGGTTCTCCCTAACCCTGCTTGAGTAAGGGCAAGATAGGTCTGATGTCTCAGCAGCCTTGAGATGGAGGTGGTCTGAAGTGATTTTGGGTAAAGGTCTCTTAGGAGAAGGCCTTACTTCACCTGCAGTTGCTCAATCTTCATACAAATCACTCAGCTCTGCAAAGACTTCTTTAGCCAAGTCACAGATAAAAGATTCATCACTCTCCACTCTGGTCATGCTGTGATATGAAAAATCAGGCAGATGTTAGCTAACTGATAATTTATGCATAGAAAGCATGACCCCAGGCCCATTTTCAGGGAATTTGTGGTAATTGATGCTGGCTTCCTATGGGACACTGGACACAGGGCCTAAGAGGCTGGCTTGGATGCCCATCCTAATGTAAAACATACCCTTTTTAGAAGTGACATCACAGGTTTGCTCTAGCTTTAGCTCAGACACTTTCCCCCAGGGCTGAGTCTTCATATTATTTTTCAGTAATGCATGAATGACCAGTTTCAGTTACTTATTTCTTTCAGTAATCCATACATGGTAAACTGGAAAGTGCTTACTAAGTATTAAGGAGTGCTCTTTTCTTTTAGTAATCCATGCCTGGTCAGCAGGGAGGTGCTTAATAAATATCTACAGTGCCCTAGCCTAAATGTCAGCTGGCCTCTCTGATTTGGATGCCAGGCTGAAGAGAGTAGGCTCTTATCTCAGCATCCCCAGGGTTCTATTCCAATTCCATTCTGATGCCACAGGATACTCAGGTGAAACCAGAGTAAGCAGCAAGCCCTGACCCATCTGGTCAAATCCTTGGTGTTCCTGGAGTAAACAGAGACAACACAGGTGTCTGCCTAACTATGCATGAACATGGGACCTGTGACCCACCAGCTGGTCTTGGGTATGATGTCCCTGTGCAACTATGATTGTCCCAGGGACATCTGAATCCCAAGAGCCCTACTGTCACCTTTTCAGTCAAAATGTGCCAATTCCAAGCCTTTGGTTCCATCTTCTCCCTTCTTTTCATTATCTTTTTTTCTCTGCTCAAGCTCAACTAAAACCTACTCTGTGGAAAGTTGCTAATCCCCTCATTCTTTCTAGTTTCAATGATCCACAAGAGTTTAAAGTAACAGACAATTAAGCTATTAGCCTGAAAGAATGAATTTTTAATGATGGTATTTCAGTTCTTCAGCTTTAAGTACAAATGCAAAAAAAAAAAAAAAAAGGTGATTTGGGTGACTAACCTTATGCTGAAAATCCACACACTTGTAAATAGTTAAAGACAGGACTCTTGTATTCATTTGCAGAGACTATTGTTATGGGGGGGGGAGTCAGGGCAGGATTAGAGAGAGGAGATAGGCACAGAGTGAAGGGAGGAGTTAGGGGTAGAGATGGCACAGCTCAAGTCCATATCCTAGCTCTTTCTTGTGTTCCTTCAGTGGGACCATCAGCAAGGCACTCAACCTCTGCATGACTTTCCTGGCCTGTGAGTGGGGATGATAAACGGAGCCACCCTTACAGGGTTTCTGTGAGAAGTAAATAAGCATATGTAGAATGCTTAGTATGGCACTCAGCTTAGAGCAGATGATGTGAATGCTACTTTCATTTCAATTTTGTAGTTGAAAAGTTGAAGGAAAAGTTTTAAACTAGCACTGATGAAAAGATAATTCAGCCCCAATAAATATATTAGCCACATAAGGATCAGTTGCTACTGCATCTCTTGCTTCTGGAACTTCAGTGCTTGAGCACAGCCAGTTGGCACACAACAGAAGATCCCAGAGAAGGTCCAGTCCCTAGACAGAGGTGCTGGAAGCCTTCCAGTGCTTAGTGTGGTGTTGGATGGGATGTGTCTAAGGTTCTAAAAGTACAACTCTGGGCTGACAAAGCTCCAGAAGAGAGAAGACTGATAAATACTTCATGGCAATCTGGAGCAAGTTCGTGTACTAAGATGAATTTGTCTATCTCTTGTGTCAGAGCTGCAGGGATTGGCATTCTGACAGTGATCCTGGGAATTTTACTGCTCATTGGCTGCTGGTATTGTCGAAGACGAAGCGGATACGGAACCTTGAAGGTTAGTATAGTTCCCAGTGCTGGGACCCTGTACATTCAGGGTCCTCTTTCCCCTTCTTTCTCTGAATTTCTAAGTAGGAGGGGAATTATCTTTACAATCACTTCCAGCTCTGATCCTGCTTCTGATGAGCTTCTCATTGTACTTTAGCAGATTTCTCTTTATTTCTGGCCAGACACAAATGCCAACTAGGAACTTGGCCTGCTGGTCTCCACTCATAGCAACTTGATTATATGCCTACTATATTAGCAGAATATTAATAGTTTATGGAAAGCAGGACTATGGTTTGTTCTCCATGAGAACAAAGCAAACTGGAGCATATGAGACACTCCTTCTGGGAAGTCTCACTGGCTCTGTTACTTCAAGTAGCTGCCTGCTCCTCTCACTTTGCCTCCTCAACCCATTCCTCCCAGGTGGCCGGGAATCCCAAGTTCTTCTAACTATGTTATTTCAAACAATCTAGCAAAGCCACAACCCATCCTGCGATTAGTATAATGAGATAGAACTATGTTTAAATTCCCTGGCTCCCTTAGGGTCTAAAAATGCCTTCATTTATTTTAAAAATTAATATGGAAATCTTATTTTGAAACTTTCATATCTCCTGAAAAGTCCAGTTGAGAATCAGCAGGCAAAGATATTTACACAAAAATATGTAATAGTGCATTAAATACTGAATTTAATTCCATAGTCACCTTCCTGTCTCTTTGGTGATTGTACTTTAATTTTTAAAAAGATTTGTTTTTATTTGTGTGTGCATGCAAGAACTGGGATATAGGCCAGAGGTGTGGGGCAGGGTGTGTATGTGAGAGGATTCACCAGACACAGAGTAGGAAGCAGAACAGATAGATGGACTCAAGTATGCTGCTAAGGGCAGAAGTGGGCGAGATAGGAGAGGTCTACTGCTCGGTGTGGGCTAGCTGCCGGGCTGGGAACTGAACTCATGCTGCAGTGGCTGCTGGTGATAGCTTGATAGTGCTGATATTTTAACCTTTTCTTCATCAGGGAGACCCTGATTGTATTTTTATTTTAAAGCAAAACAAACAAACAAAATCCACAAAAGGTTTCATGCTTATGACTTACTTTACCAACATTAATTAAACTTTAAAATGTCTACCTTCCCGGGGCCCTCTCTGGGTGGTACAACAGGTTAAAGTACAGCACTATGAAGCTATTGCAGCCACGGCAGCACGTTCAATCCCCTTGCCAGTGAAGTGACCCACATGGTGCTGCAGACCTCTCCTGACCCACCAGCTGCTCCCCTTAGCAGTGTATTTCCTATTCTGCTCTCCACTCTGTCTCTGGTGAATCCTCTCACCTCCTGCACCTCTGGCCTATACCCCAATTCTGTATGCATAAATAAATAAATTTTTAAAAAATAAAATAAATTGTCTGCCTTCTCTCTTGAAATGACTAGAGAATGGTAGCAAGGTTAATTGGAAATAAGATCTCTTAAAATTTTCTTTTGGCTAACAATTCCCCTTCTTCCTGAAAATATGTTTTGAAAGGAAAGATGTCAGTAATGAAATACTTTACTTTGGTATTTTTCTGTCTTATGCAAATTTCTGCGGTTGTTCTTAATCGTGGAGAACATCACCTCCTAAACTTATGCAAAGTAGCAAACTTCCCATTAACTGAGCCTTAGAATGATTTGTCATTGTTACAACAGAACTTAGAAGCTCACAGCTACAGCCAATGCTTTTTTATCACACTGTGTGTATTTACAGTGTTTAAGATCTTTTGCTGTCATTTATGGAAAATTCAGGGTAGGAGTATATCCTGCTGTCAAGTGACTGGTTCTTGTCCTTGCTCTCACTAGCTCTGATCTACTCCACCTGCAGTCATTCTTGGAGGTCTACTTTTTAGATTCACTCTTTTTCTGCTTCCCTTCAAAAATACTTGCTAGCTAATGAGTGTCAGGCACTGTGCTAGGTTCTTTACCTTTAGTTAATTCCTACAACAAATCCAAAAGGTAAGTGTTATCTTCCTATTATAGATGCAGAAACTGAAAACTCTGATGAAAGCCATTCCTAAAGTTTCAGCTTCTTTTCCTTTTTCTCTAATGGATACAAGTATCTTCACAATCACTGAATCATCATGAATTCATATTTCAGGATAAAAGTTTTCATGCTAGTACTCGAAGTACCTTAACAGGAAGATGTCCATGTGAGGTGGCTGGTCACCAGGACAGAAAACTGCCTTTCCAAGAGAACAACTATGATTCTGTGGTAGGTTGAGTATTTGCATGTATGAAAGCTTTGAACTTGAATGAATAAAATTATTGCCATTTAAAAAGCAATGTAAATGCTAATATACTTAATGCTACTTAGCTGTACCCCTGAAAATGGCTAAAATGGTAAATTTTGTTATGTGTATTTTACCATAATAAAAACATTTAAAAAACATGGAAAATACAACGAATTTATTAAACTGTATCCTCTCATAATCGGATTTTCCAATGTCAATAATGAGAAGAAATTTGTTCTGGATATATTCTTTTATATGTTCAATATATTTGCCTTTATAGGAGAATATAGATTTTTTTCATTTAAAAATAGGGCCCTGCCAGGTGGTACAATGGGTAAGGAGGCAGCACTGCAAGCTAATTTCAGCAGCTTCGGTGCGAGTTTGATACCCTGCCCCAGAGATGACCACATAGCATGGCAGACCTCTCCTGACCTGCCCGCTGCTCCCCTCAGCAGTGTACTTCATTGATCTGCCTGTTCTGCTCCCCACTCTGTCTCTGATGAAGCCTCTCACTGCCCCTGCACCTCTGGCCTGTACCCCATTTCTGTATACATAAATAAATAAATAAATCCTAAAAAAAGAAAATTAAGCTTTAAAAAAATGTTTAACAATATTTTTATTTTATTCATACAAAAACTGGGGTGTAGGCCAGAGGTGCAGAGGGTAAGAGGATACATCAGAGACAGAGATTCACCAGAGACAGAGCAGAGCAAACAGATCTACAGAAATCCACTGCTGAGGGGAGCAGCAGGTGAAACAGGAGAGGTCTGCTGTGCCTTGTGGGTCAGCAACCTGGCTGAGGATTGAACTCAGGCTGCAGTGGCTGGTGACAGCTTAATAGTACTGAGAGTTTAAACCCTGTACCACCTAGGAGGTGCCCAGGATACAGATTTTTCTAAGGGAGGGAACAAAAAAATCTACTGTTTATTTTACAGAATTGTGCTTCACATTGAGCACTATTGAGCACTTGAAGCACAGATGTTTGAATTAAGATGTACTATAATACATACTAAGTCTGAGGTGAAGAAGATAAAAAATTCATTAATAACTTTGTATTGATTATATGTTGAAATATTTTTCTGTATGGAACTACTGTTAAGATTAATTTGACCTGTTTCTTGTACTTTTTTAATGCAACAGCTTAGATATTTTTATTTTCACCTTTAAAATATATATATTTACAGGAATAATTTCCCATTCTTTGGAATTCTTAGGAAAAAAATAATTTGGTGGGGAAGTAAAAGAATGGAGACAGGTATAGCACAATGTCCCAAATCACCAACCCATCAGTCTCCAGGCCCAGACTGGGTCAGTGCCAACAGGATTGCCTAGAAGTCTTTGAAGCCCACCCACTCCAGCATGGCATTCAGACAGAACAGGAGTTAATGTCTCACTTTCCTCCTTCTCAAATCAAGGGACACTTAAAGGGACCTTTGTATCAACCTGCAGGAAACTGAGAAGCTGATATGTTAAAAACTGGAGCGTGTTGGTACAGACCCAGAATATTACAATTGTTGAGAGCACTGACCCCAGAGCAAAATTACTGTATTTGATTCTAACCTCCACAACTTCCTGATTGTGTGTCCTTGGGCACGTGACTTCCTTGTGCCTCAGTTTCCTGACCTGTAACATGAAAACAATGAAAATATTTTTAGAACTGTTGTGAATGTTAGATGAACACATTTGTGTTCTGTTGATAGTGATGATGGTCCTTAGATAACAACTACAAGAATCTTTGTGCTAAAGGTGAAATGTACATAGTGTTTGTAAACAGGACTTGGGACTTCTATTGACATGACTCTCCAGGTATAAATACACTTTTAATATTTGGGGGAGCTGCTTAGTATTATTTTTTCTAGTCCCCCAAGAATGTTCCAACATACACACCAGTGAAATTTAGCAATGATACATCTTGGGTGGAAATTGGATGTGGACATTTTCAAGTTTTAGTCCAGATCAAAAGTATAAATATGATACTATTTTGACTTAATCCTTCCCAGAAACATGCACTTTAGTCAAATTCATACTCTCTCTCTCTCATTCTTTCAGATTTCCAATGCTCCACCTGCTTATGAGAAAGTCTCTGCAGAACTGTCACCACCACCTTATTCACTGTGAGGGCCAGTGAATGCTGAAACAATTTCCTTCACATTGTTGATTGAATTTAATATGGATTTCTAATCATATGCTTTAGAATGCTATAGAAATACTGTACATTGCCTTTAGTAATAAATCTACTGTTCTTTGTAGAACAACTAAAAATACTAATCAAATAGGAATGATGAGAAATATTAAAATAAAACACTAACAATAAATGCTGTAATGCATGATAGTAACTGTGCCTATAGATATATCAATAAACCATGGTGTTATTTTCCTCCCCTAACCCCATCATTATCTATTCTCTTGTCCCTTTCTCTCCTCTCTTAACTACAGAAACTTCATTAAGGATTGATATCCATTTTGGGGAAAATTTATACATTATCAAATTGTCAAACAAATCTCTAGTATTTGTTTTTATCATTCTGACTTGCTTTATTACATATTATTCTTTCAAACTCCCTCCATTTTGTTGTAAATGACTATATTTCATCCCCTTTTATGGTCAAAGATTACTCCATAGTGTGGATATATTGTATCTTCTTGATCCAATAATCCATCAGTGGACACTTAGGCTATTTCTAACTATTGATATTATTTTAAAAATTTATTTATTTTTGCACACAAGAACTGAGATACAGGCTAGAGGTGCAGGTAGTGAAAGGATTCACTAGAGACAGACTGAGGGGCAGAACAGGCAGTTCTATTGAAGTACACTGATGTGGGGAGCAGTGGGCAGGTCAGGAGAGGTCTGCTGTGCCATGTAGGTCAGCTCTCTGGTCGGGATTGAACTTATGCACCATTGGTTGGGGATAGCTTCATAGTGCTGTGCTTTAACCTGTTGCACCACCAGGGAGGGCCCTAAAATATTATAAAGCTGCTATGAACATTATATAACAGGTTTTGTGTGTGTGTGTGGTGTGTCACTGGTTCTTTTTTTTTTTTTTTAAAGATGCATTTATTTATGCATACAGAACTGAGGCACAGGCCAGAGGTACAGGGGCAGTAAGAGGATTCACCAGAGACAGAGTGGGAAGCAGAACAGGCAGATTGATGAAGTACACTGCTGAGGGGAGCAGCGGGCGGGTCAGGAGAGGTCTGCCATGCCATGTATGTCACCTGGGCAGGGTATCACTCACACCAAATCGGCTGTGACTAGCTTGCAGTGCTGTGTACTACCCTGTTGCACCACCAGGGAGGGCCCCTGGTTTCATATTCTTTGGATGTATGCCCAACAGAGGGATTGTTGGATCACATGGTATTTTCATTTTTTCAAGGAAATCAGATTGCTTTTCATAATCATTTCATCAGTTAATTTTCCCAACAGTGTAAAAGGCATCCTCTCCAACAATTATTTTTGGAGGCTTCTTTAATATGTGCCATTCTCAGGGTGTGAGAATGAACATTTTTTCATTTGTCTGTTGACCCTGTGAATATTCTCTTTGGTGACTTGTTCATATCTGCTGCTTGTTTTTTGTTAAATTGTGTGAATTTTTTATATTTCCTGGATAGTAATCCTTTATCATTTGTATTGTGATATTTTCCCATTCAATAGTGTCCTTTTAAACTTCTTGTATTTACTTTTTCTGTATAAAAGCTTTCTGACTAGCTACGAGTCAAGAAACCAAAAACGTCTTTCTCATAGATGTTCTGAAACATATTGTCAATGTTTTCTTCTTTATTTTATTGTTGCAGGTGTTATATATAGATCTTTAATCCAGTTAGAATTTATTTTTGTGTATTTCATTCTTTTATGTGGCTTTTCAATTTTCCTGGCTCCATTTTTAAAGACATTATTCTTTCCTCATCTCATGGTCATAATTGCTTTAGCATATATTGTGTATTGATGTGCATGTGTATTTATTTCTGGGTTTTTGATTCTATTCCTTTGATCCATGTATCTGTTTTTGTGCCAGTTTCATATGGACTTTAGTACTGTTTCTTCAAGCTAAGTTTGAAATTGGGTAACATAATGCTTCCATTTTTCTCTTAATAGTGTTGCTTTTACAATTTGAGGACTTTAGTTCTATATAAATTTCAGTATATCTTTTCTCTTGAAAAATATTGCTGGAATTTTAATAGAGTTTGTATTAAATTTATATATTATGTTAGGCAGGGCAGCCATTTTGATTTTATTGATTCTCCCCAACTATGAGATGTCCTTCCAAATCCTTATGTTGTTAAGTTCTTTCACAGTTCTCATTTTATATAGGTCTTTTACCTCCTTACTTAGGTAAATTCTGAGGTTTTTAATTCTTTCTGAAGCAACTATAAAAGTAGTTTTTAAAAAAATCCTCATTTCTTGCTCATTGTATATGAAAAAGTTATGAATTTTGTTTTTCAACCTGCCACTATGCTGTATTTATTGTTTCTAATATTTTTTATGAAGTCTTGAGGCTTTTCTATACATAATATCATTGTGAAGAGTAATAATTCTACTTCTTTTCCTATTTAGATGCCCATTTCTTGTTTCTGTCTCATAGCTCTGACCAAAACCTCTAATGCTAAGTTAATAGAAGTGGTGATGATGAGCATCCTTGTCTTGTTCCTGATTTTAAGAGGAAACCTTTCTGTTTTCATCATTTCTGTTTTCATTTGATTCCTATATTGCTTAAAATTTTTAATAGTAAATAGGTGCTGAATCTTATCAAATGCTTTCTCTGCACCAATTGACATTTTGTCTGTACTGTGGTTTGGTTGATATATTATGTTGATTTACGTATATTAAACCATTATTGCATCCCTGGGATAATTCCCATTTGACTGTGGTGTATAATCATTGTGGCATACTTTTGAGTTCAGTTTGTTAGTATTTTATTTAGCTGGCCTATTTCTTCTGGTTACTCTTGATAGGCTAATATAAATTTGTGTAGTTCTTCTGGATTATTGAATTTGTTGCCATAGAATGTTATAATCCTTTGTCTGTGTTACCTGTGATATTTCCTCTTTCGTTATTGTTTATTAGTGTTTTGTTTTGTTTTTTTGGTTAGCCAAGCTAAAGTTTTATTTTTTTCTTCTCAAAGAAACAACTCTTAGTTTCACTGACTTTTTGTAGTATTTTCGCTATTTCCTATTTTTAGTATTTCCTTTCTTCCACTAAATTTGGGACTTGTTTCTCTTTTCCAACTTGCTTTAGGTGTAGTATTAAATTGTGATTTTTATTGCGGCTTAATGTGGATTCCTATTGCAATTTTCTTCCCCCTCAAGACAACTTTTGTTGCATTCCATAGATCCAGGAAGCTTATATCATCTTTTTGTTCATCTCGAGGCATTAAAATTTTTTTCTGCTTTAATTTCTATTTTTGTTCACAGCAGTTAAACAGCAAATATTGTTTAGTCTCCATGTATTCAAGTTTTTTTCTTATAGTGGATTTCTAACTTTATGGCATTAGTTAGAATAGAATATTAGGTATTAGTTAAGTCTTGGAAGTTTTATCAAGTGTTGACAGGTGTCCCAAAATATGGTCTATTCTTGAAAATGTTTCATGCGCACTTGAAAAAAATATGCATGCAGTGATTTTTAATTGTTACACCTACTTGACCTAGCTCTTCATTTAAGGCTATTATTTTCTTATTGTCTTGTTTCCTGTCCATTGTTGTAAGTGGAATATTGAAATTTTCCAGTTGTCAATATTTTGCTTTAGTTTTGTAATTGCCTTATATATATTTTTTAGTAAATAATTTATCATTTCTTCCTGTTGTATTGATTTTAATCACAATATTGTGTCTGTCTCCATTTCTTAACTTTTTGTTTTTTTTAAAAAAACATTTATTTACTTATGCATATAAGAGCTGGGGTATAGGTCAGAGATCTGTGTGTGAGGCAGAATAGGGAGCAGAATAGGGAGCAGAACAGGCAGATCTACTGAAATACACTGCTGACAGGAGTAGTGGATGAGACAGGAGAAGTCTACTGCACCAATTGGGTTATTTCCATGGCTGGGGATCAAACTTATGCTGCAGTGGCTGCTGATAGCTTGATAATACTAAGATTAACCCCTTTTGCCACCAGGGAGGCTCAACGGGTTAAAGCACAGCACTAAGAAGCTAAAGCCACTTCCGCATGAGTTAAACCCTGCTGGTCCTGGAGGTGATCCACATTGTGCTGCAGACCTTTCCTGAACCATCCGCTGTTCCCCTCAGCAGTGTACTTCGACGATCTGCCTGTTCTACTCTCCACTCTGTCTCTGGTGAATCCTCTCACCGCTCCTGCACCTCTGGCCTGTACCCCAGTTCTGTATGCATAAATAAATAAATCTTAAAAAAAAAAAAAACCTGGGGAGGGGGAAGGGAGGGAAATGCACGGGACTATGGTGGTGGCACAGGGGTGATTTGGTGATGGGAAACCCGCGGGGATTACAATCGAGATGGAAAAAAAAAATGTGCAAAATGATGTAAAAATAAACTTTGTAATAATAAAAACAAAACAAAACAAACAAAACCTAATGATAACAATGAACACAAAGAATTGAGGAATTTGACTTTGTACTCCTTGGCCAAGATCCCAGAAATACACATGACCTGCCAAATTGTAGATAAGGAAAAAGACAGGATTTTTTTAAACATAAACCTACTAATTTATACAAATCTCTAGTAAAAAGGGGTATTAGTTTAAAAAGTAAAGTAGAACTTTAATATAAATTACCGAGATTTCTTACTTATACAACAGCTGTATGTTAAATGTCTACTGTGTGTCAGTTACTGGAATGACAATAATAAAGATGAATAAGTTCTCTTTTTAAGAATGACAAGCATTAAATAATTGCATACAAATAATTTTATTATTACATAGTGCTATGTTCTCATCACTCTGTTCTCCTCACTCCTCACTGCAACATTATGGAGGCAGTATAAAATGTAATGAGAATCTGTAACGAAATGTCAAGTCAAAAGAGGACATCTACAAAGATATTAAGGTGTCTTGAATTTCTAGGCCTTTAAAGAGTGCAATAAACAAGAGGGAAGTAAACTGAAATGAAGCTGGGGAAGAAAGCTAAAGTTTTAAGGTGGTATGGGCT